GTCGGGTTTCTAGGCCAGTTCATGATGGCTTGGCGCCGGTTACGTACCCGGTCAACACGTCTATGCGGGACTTCCGGTCCCTCAGACTTGAATGTAACAATACCTGCGGTGTTTCCAGGCCAGGAAATTTGCATTGTCCTTTGTGCTACACCCACGGGTAGCGGTGTGGGGGCAGAGGTTTTCCCCTTGAAATTGGAACAATTTATGGGCTTTTGGGAAACATGCTGCAATATTCGACTACCGTCGGCAGGAATCCGACGGCTTTCAGCTTCCTTTCTTCAGGATTTTTACTCCTGTGTACTTTGATTTAAGACTGATTTAATGAAGCTACGACTGCTACCGAGGGGAGGAAAATGTAATATTATGCTAAATACACATGGAAATTTTTTTATTCCCTACTTACTCATGAAAACGATGTCCTTGACGGTTCTGCGTCATTTCTTCACTGGCTCAAATTTTTGAAAAAACATTTCCATATTTTCTCGTTACCTAATTAATTTTTTATCAGGAAGAAAATGAGAGAAAACGACTGGATATTTTTTACTCGTGATTTTATTTCTTTTTAAATAAACAAGAGTCTGAATAAAGTCTGTTTTAATTTTTCCACGTTGACACGGTTGAAGATTTTCCGAATTTCAAAATTTTGAATGGAAAATGGTTGAATTTTTTTGGTTTACGGGAAAATTTATGGAAAAGCAGCTGCACAGGTGGAATAATTTAAACAAATAAAAAATTCTAGTTCAGAATTTAGTCGACGTGTCTCCGATGGCAGCACCTCACCGCGATTTTCAGTTTAACATCAATGGCGGTTTTTTTTTCCTTTTTATTTCAACATTTAGATTAGGCTAATGCGATGGACCCGATGAGATATGGGCCAGCGAATGGGAGAGCGTTTCTCGTGTGGCAGGGGCGTGCCGTACCCTGGAAACGGCGTGCCCCAGGACCGCGTTGTGACGTGGACTAAGTGCTGGGTGGAGCCCCATCTAGGCACTACCTACCCGATGGAACCATCATCCTGGCCTGTGGTGCCGAACCCCCTACGACAACCTAATGGCCGCCAGTGCTGTCACGAAACCGCGCCAGTTTTGAAATTCAGGGCTTGTATTTTCATCCCTCCGAAGCCCATTCTGATGACCACCTTCTGGGGGTGCTAAAGCACTGGAACATAAACATGAATAAAATATTTAATCCGAGTCCGAATTCTCGCGGCGTCGACTAATTTCTTGAAAAAAAAAATCCGCTCATGAATTAAATTCATTTTTTTTTACACTCGAAAATATTTTCACTGTCTGAAATAAATAAATAAATTTTTTAAGAATTGATTATTTATTCATTTAATGTTTAAAGTTGTTTAATTAAAAAAAAAATCATACATTTATCATTTTTATTTTGTAAATGGAAAGTTCGATTAAATGAAAGAAAAAAAAAGTAATTTTCAATGGGTGCTGATTGGTGAATAATAGATATCGCGAAAACCCCTTGATAAATATCCCATAATCGCGAATGCAAATTTAATTTCAACGCAAGATGTAATCCCCAGTTATACTTGACCACCCCTATGGACTCTGGACACAATACCCTTAAGCTACCCCTCGACATTTCTCTTCCACTCGTCTCTCGTTCTTTTATACCCCTCATTTATCCTCATCCCTCATCCCTCAGTTTTCAATTCTCCGGCAACACCATCCCCAACACAAATCGAATAACTTCTATTATTTCCGGTGTAAATATATATTTTTTTTTAATTCACGTTACAAAAATACCACGGGACGAGTCGTAAAACTCGGAGATGGCACATGTGGAGAAGGGATTGGCTGTGGGGATGATCCCCGGGGGAATGAGTCCAGGGCCAAGTGTCATCGGGATATCCAGCTAATTGCCTGAGTGTTTTGTTACCCTCTCGGAGGCGGATACTCGTTGGCCCTTACAAGCTTTTGCATTTAGCCCTTTCCCTCGTACCCTGGGACCCTCGACAAATGGAACTTTCCTTTTTCTCATCCCTCAACTCTCGCCAACTCAAAAATTAAATTATCCCAGCGAAATCCCACAGATGCCGGTCAAAACTAGAGGCCAAACCCGTGATGTTATTATTTTTCGCCTTTATTTGGAAAATTGTCGGCAGAATTGATTGCGAGACGCCAACCTCGGGTGACGGCATCGCCGGGGGGTGAATGTCGGCGGCTCCGCTGGGTGTGCGATATTATTGATTTATGTCCCCCTTGTAAAGCTCCACGAAAACCCGGGGGTGGAAAAAAATTCACGTGTAGAAGTGAAAGTTTTGGATAACTCAATTTTTTTCTCAAAATTTACACCCATAAAAAAATACCTCAACATCAACAATTAAAAAAACCACTCAAAAATCGGATAAAAATCGACTAAAAAATTCAGACAATCAATGAATAATTAATCTAAGATGTAATTGTTCAATGGAATTAAATTTCCGATATTACTAAAATCATTGGAAAAAAATGTTTAAAAATTCAATCCCCCAAATTTTTAATCCCAATTCGCATCTAAAAAATCGGCGGATTGAAAAAGTAAATATTTCTACCCCAAAAATCGAAGAATTTACAATAAAAAAAAAATTGAACAGTACATTGTTTTCAATTACCCTGTGGAAATATAATCCCCCGAAATCCCAGTGCTCTCATAAGACATAAAGTTCTCCATTGACTGTAAACTGGCCAGAAGTTGCCTGTGACCGGTAGTGAAACAGAGAGAGAGAGAAACTAGTGGAAGCGCCGAAAATTGATGCATTCTCTATGCAAAACAGCGGAACGAGACGCGGCACGCAACCAACACGACCGTGAATCCAGTGCTGAGTTCCTCCCTCCATTTTCCCATGCACCCTTGTATGTTCTGCAAGTGTTCAAGTCCGAGGTAATGCGCAAGAGAGAGACAGAGTGATAAAAGCACCCGTGGAACACACCTACGTGAGTCGGAATCGAGTTGGCTATAGAAGCGGTTAACACTCTATTAACACTAACGACGCTCATACATAACATGGCGCGAGCCTGGCTAGGAATTTATGATCCGTTAATGGAGGGGCGGCAGGGGATTTTACTTTATGCATTTGTGCGGCGCGTGCAGAAATCAGCTGATGAGAATTACCTCAAAATCCGATTATTCGGTCAAGTACATTTGAATTTACCGCGCGCGGGACAGGTGGCGCGATTCCATCTATTTCAAATCTTTTTCACCGTTTTTTTTAAATATTTCACACTTTGAATGATAATTTCTTTAATAATAATGTGTCATTATCATTTTTATTTGATACTTTAAATTTAATAACAATTATGGAAAATGAGGAATTAATGGGGATGAGTTTTTGGGGGAATAAAAAAGGATTGTCAGATGTGATTGTTTCACGAGGACATAAATAATGATCTCGATAATGGCAATAATGGTGTTTATGTATGAGGAAAGAAAAAGTTGGATAGTCTCACATTGTCGGTAGCCTGAAGTGCCAAAGTTCATCGGAAAGGATCCTCGGGCATTGTGGAGTACTCGAGGGTGCGAGGAGAGACGGTAGAGGCTGGGTAAAGTGATAAAGCGCCCATAAATTCTGACCCTCTTCCTCACTCCTCATCCTTCTCCACTCTTCTGTTATTTCCGTCTCCTCGCATGTGCAATCTTCCACCGACCTTCGACCAAAATCCCACCTCTTCTCACTTCCTCGGGTAAAATGCGTTCGAGTGACCCATCTGCTAGAGAATTAAAGAGAGGGGAGTGTGCACCTGCAAGACGAAAGAGACACGGGGATTAGCGTGACTGGGGCTTTGCAGCGTCTCCTGGATGAAACGAGGTCGACGTGCTGAATACACTTACCTCGAGTATTACAAGACTGGAATTTCCGCGTGGGCAACAACAGCTGTTTATGTACACCCAGTTGAGGAGACATTTTTTTCACCTTATGTAGGGGACCATTATTTCTGGAACAAGGGGAGATTAAGGACGATTAGTCATCGATCTTTCAGGTTTTCACTTACGGTCAATTGCCGGTAAATCAGCATTGATCAAAAGTAATAATTTCTCTAAGAAAAAAGTCGTCAAACCAAATCTGTCACTGATCTATTTCGCCTAGATTATGATCACAATCTTATCATATTTTTTCATATTGTAAATTCATTTAGAAATATTTTTCGACTTGGTTTGATACTCTTCTCCAGTTCTGCATACGATAAATAAATTATCAGACTTGTATTCACTTGACCATTACACAGAAAAAGAATAGTTTAATTTCCGGATGCATCTCGATTCGTTGCCCCACATGCGACAGGTTTCAAGTTCGACTGTCATCTAATCAGGTCGAGGTGCTGTAAAATAATTACAAATAATTCTGGAATGATGCATTATACGTAAGAATGCATTATCGAGGACAGCTTGGCTTGCAGCGATGCCCCCAGGAAAAACGACACATGGAGTGTCCGAGAAATCCCGGGGTAAAGGAAAAGCAACAGCTGTTGGACTCCGTCAGATATTTGGAGTGGCGTGCGAGAGAATCCCAACATCAGTGTACATACCTTACCTAGTAGTAGGCGCACACGGCATGTTCGGTGTATGCTGCAGGGGGCGAACAGACAGAAAATCCAATAAATCATCCCGTCACGAGCCATGAGCCAAGGCGGAGCCTCTCGCCTCGTATTAGCCAATAATAATCCTCTCTGAGTTGGAGGCCATCTTGGATTATACAATGGTTCCTTCCGCAGCAAATACGTATATAAATGCAAAACTCTCCACAAGCTCATATCCAAACATCCCTCGGGGAGAAAGGACCCCCACGTAACCAACGGCTGTTTTTTTTTTCCCCCTTCAGTTTAATCGAAAAAACATCCTCGATCAACTTCCTCATTCATTTCGTATTCATTCATGCTGTCCCATACCCCACGTACTGATCGAATATGTATGTCACTCAATCTTTCTCGAATATTTGCATTTTAATTTTGACGGTGAAATTAAATGAACAAAAATAACAAAAAAAAACACACCGCCGTCCGAATTCATATTCAACCACAATTTATTTCTCGTTTCCAAACACAGTTATTATAATTAATATCGTTATTATTAATATGGACAGACTCTTATATATAATACAATATGGTTTTTAGACTCATCGACGTAATAGCCAGTAATACTATTATCTTTTATCGTCCACGCATTATTTTCTCAGCTTTAAGTTTTATTTCTTCATTTTGTTGACGAAGTCAGACTCCGCTTAGTCATTCGCTCGTGTATCCACCGATTTTATTTTAATGTTTTTTTTTTTCTTTTGTTTGCATACATCTCGCTTACTTCGTACTCGTTGTAGTGGTTGTTGCAGTTGTCACCGTCTCACTCGATTTTTTTTGTATCTCTTTAACAGTGTACATATAGTTTACATACTTGCGGGGACACTACAAAATAATTATATACGTTTACTCGTTTACTTGCAATCGTAAATAGGACTAATATTTATACTGGTATATATAACGCGTATATATATGGACTCGGGGTGCATATATATAGCTTTATATATCTCATATATCTCATATATTCAGTTTTCCTCGGTTTAGGTATCGCCGATATTTCTTCAGGAAGATTTTATCGCCTTTTTTTTTTCGCCTCGTCACCTCCGATTTGGACATTTTATTTTTTCTCATTGCACGGGTTTATGTACAGGTTATGTTCGGCCGGGCAATGCTCTTCACATTTGTTATGGAAATAGAGAGTTGCTCTTGATCCCGAGAGACTGATGAGTGGATAAACTAATCCCACACGTGGATTGAATGCCAACGATGTGACAACGTTCGACAGGTCATGTTACCGTTCAATATCATGACCTTGAGCCACACCCTGTGCGTCACGAGTCTGAGCAATTCTCATTCTCTATTTTTGTTTTGGTTATCGGGGGCTATCAAATTTTTGGGTAAAAAAGTATCAGTGATTTCGGGAAAATTGAGCGGAAGTCGGACAAAATGGCTCTAGGCTGGAATGAAATAAAATATCAGTCACAATTACAACTTGCGGCTCTAGTTACGTATATTGTCATCTCATTTAACACTAGGGAAAGAAATAACATTTTGGTTATTCTACGGTCCAGAAGTTCGAGTACAAATGGCTGTCATTCCCACCCTTCCTGACACCTCCATGTGCCCTTTTAATATCAAAATCCGCGCAGGTTTGTACTTGGAGTACATTTTTTCGTTTATGTTAGTCTCGTAATAAATAGTTGCTATCGTTACACCTCGCTCTCTCTCTACTGCTCTTTTTTTTATTATTTTTCATTTATTTTCTAATTAACAGGTACCTACTTTACCTACGCGGTATCGTATACTGAGACGCGGGTCTTGCGAATTCGGTGGGACGACGTCAGACGTCGCCTTTCACATTGCCCTGCCGATATCGAATAGTTAAAAAATATTGGATACAATTATTTCGTAATTCAAAAGGTGAAATTGTTGTAAATATTTTTTTTTTCTCACTTCAACAGGTTGTGGCGGTTTGAGGGGCGACAGAAAGGCCAGGAACTCTTGGACGTTTTGCGCGAGCGAGGACGTGGCATCATTACGATGAAAATAATAATCATCTGCATAATTATAAACAAATTGAAAAAATAAAACGTTAATCCACTTCCGATGCATTTTATACAGATTTTGGATTTGGACAATTTTCAATTGATTTAATTATACTTTTGGCAAGTCGATTTTAGTGTAAAATAAAGGACGACGGAAATAAAAATGAGAGAAAACGAAAAATTTATTTAATTTTTTTTTTTTGCACATTTCGGACTATCTATAAGTACGCATATATTCTTCTTCACGTTTTTTTTTTCTTTCGTAAAAAATATCCATTAGATCTTCGGTAAAAACAAAATAAATGAAGGCTCACATTAAACTATAACATCATACTAATAAATATTACGTAACTAAATAATATTACGGGGTTGGCTGATAATTATTTAACACCCATTATAGTTTTCATTCATTACTTCACGGATTTCGAGAGTTGGTTCTATACAATCTCAAGTAAAATATGAATTATGTACAGCTCCGCGGTAAAAACCGTACGGTCGACCTTTTTCTCCTGTTCGGGGCCATTCCGTGTTCTCTATTTTTTTTTCCCTTCCATCCTGTAATCATGGGAGTGAAAAAAAAAATGAGAGATAGTGAATGTTAGAACGATCGAATTTCACCACCGCCCCCGCCCGCTGCAACGACCGACACGCCTTTTCCCTAATCCTCAGCCGAATATCTCGACAAAAAATTCACCGATCGGTTGATTTTAATTATTCACGTGACATTCCTTTCTTCATTCGAGACGAAATATATAAATTTACATTGAAAAAACTTCTCAGCCATTCACTTGTGTACAAACTGTCTTCTATAATTGTATATTAACGGAGGAATCGCTCCCTGCAACGGGAAAATCCGGTTAGCATCGAAAGAGAAACCCGTAATAAAGATATAAATTAAAAGTGATGGAACAATTGTCTTGTAAATACAATGATGGCGTGAAGGTTGTGGATTGTTCCTCCGTCTAAACCGCGCCCTCTGCTCAATAATCCCATCAATTTCGGAGATGTTATCAAATATCTGTTAACGGTCGATGACTTTTCCATCTCTTCAATCCTCAAAATTCAACAGGAGAGAAGAATCCGGAAAATTAAACATGATTTATGAACTAGAATGTTCAGTCCCTCGATCGTATGCATATGGATATCTCATTACAGACTCGATGCAAATGATTTATAACTTTATCATCCCATGAATTTTATTTATCTCCCCAAATGATTATTCTCTCCAGATGAACAGCTTCAGTTGCAACGAGCGATAGCGCCGATGATTTTTTTTACATTATCGAATCTTCATAATTTTTACATAAATAAATCTCTCGAAAGAAAGGCCAGTCGGACTCAAAAATGAGTTGGACCATGTCATTACGTATATCGTTCTTCACATTCCTCACACTTTTGTCTATTATCCTCGTCATTACGTATATCGTGTAATTATTCCATAACTAATAGAAACTAAGTGTCGAGAAACTAATGTAACAACACAGCACATAAATCGCCGCGGCGGATTTTTGTTATTCTCTCGTACTTCGGCTTCCGGGGAGATTTTCTTTTTTATCAATTGTCTTTATCTTTCACTTTGGTCCTGGGAAGTCGATGTTTTTTTTTTATTTTCACACGCAACTCGAGAAAGCGCCTGACACTTGCGACAATGTTTCAGAGCTAGTCGGCAAGTCAATTAATTTTTCATTAATAAAATACATCGATTTCAATTGAATCTCTGGTTGTTAATTTCGCACGCCAATATATTTATCGAGGACGGCGACGAAAATTCGAGCTCGTGAGCTCCAAAACATATTTGGACTAGCGCCCAACGACTCGCGTTGATTCTCATTGATTTTTCAATTTAGTAAGTCACCGGGTTAAAAATATCGTAATGAAAACGTAAATAGCCCAGTCGTTGGGGCTTGTCACCTGAGAATTGTCACGCGCTTTCACACCCGCATTCTTATTATCAAAAAATCTACATTACGTCACTGGTAACTTGGCCTCGCGTCTGCAGAGCTGGGGTAAACTTTAATATTCCAATTATTTACAGAATTTGCAGCGGGCACGAGCACTGAATTCCCATCGATTGAAAACACAAGACATTGGACCTGATTTAAGAAAAAAAAAAAAAGCAGGACTGACCTTGTCTGATGAGGCTGACGAACAGGACGAACGCCGGATCCCTCCACCATATTTTAAATAAATCACTGGGTTACACTCACTTCTTTTATTTTTAATATCAAATAAAACTTTTTCACTGAATCGAAATATTTGGAACACCATTGGCACGAATCATCAGTTATCCTTGCTTTACCCTCGCCGAGCCGTCGCGGTTTTGTAAATAAAATCTATCTAAACGATTTTTTATCTCTCATCATCCCTAAAAGACTACAACGCTCATCTATCGCTAATAGAGACGCAATAGATAACCATCATCTACACGAGCAAAAAACGCCTAATACGCATTTCTACGTAATTATTTATTTATTCAATTTGTGTTTTTTATGTACGACGTAAGAGAATAAATAATAGAAACGCATCCTCTATAATAATTACCCACAATTTTTCATACTCACACTATTCTTTCACTGAATCGCACCATAATTATTATCCAAACTCACGTCATCCATTCGTTATTCAATCTCTCATCCTCCCACAAATTCATTCCTTTAAGTTACGTATATTTTTCTCATTATCTCTATATATAGGCTTTCGTAAATTACATTTCGATTAAACGTAATAGAGGTTAACGCGGTTCTGATTAGCATGTGATCCAGTTTTAGTTTCAAATATCGCATTTGCAATTTAAATCCATCATCCTAAAATTCACTTAAACGTTTTTTTTTTTACCATTTTTTTCATTTAAATTCATTTTTTGTAATCCTTATGAAATTGCGCATTCCCGTGACTTCATTCGCCTCATTAATTTCATTCTCTCTATCGTCCACGAACTCTCGGCCAACTCCGTATTGTTTAAATCTTCACACATTTTTATGTATTTCTCATTTTCTTTGTCATCTTTTTGGTACGAGCAACTTGAATTAACACGACAAGATAAGCGTCATTGCTGAGGGGTCATTTGGAGGTCATATCGCGTGGGAGATCATTCATTTGTGGAGCGAGGGGACGGGACGGGGGTTAAGGGTGGGGGGTTGGTAAGTCAGGGAGCTCAGGGCTTTTTTTATCGACTGAGGGTAATGGGGTAGGTTGGGGCATGGGAAATTGGAGGTAGTGCTGGAGACAAGGTTCGCGTGGGACCCTGAGAGATGAGAAGCTCTTTGGAAGACCTCGAACTCTTCATTGAGGCTCTCAACCCTGCGGCGATGTCTGCGGCGAGATGTCGGTATCACCGTCGCCCGAGCCTGGCTCACCCTTCGTCTTGTTCTCCTTCTTCCACTTCATTCGTCTGTTTTGAAACCATATTTTAATCTGTCGCTCGGTGAGACACAGGGCGTGGGCGATCTCGATACGCCGCCGCCTTGTCAGATATCTGTTGAAGTGGAACTCCTTCTCCAGCTCTAGGGTCTGGTAACGCGTGTAGGTTTGCCGTCCTCTTTTCCTCTCTGGAACAGATGAATTTTATTTTAGTGGTTAGAGGGTTGTCAGGTTGGTGCTTTCAAGGTCAATCCAATATGAGGGTCAAGGATGGTACACCAATAAATTTTCCAAATATCTTGTTAAGGGCTGAAGATAGTGGTCATGGGTTACGATCTCTTCGAGGAATCACCGAATGACTTTAAAACCGCAAACCGAGATTATTAATTACCCGATTTACGAAAAAAAGGAGCCCCTGAAGAGGGCCCTCTTCAACCCATAATCCATGAGAGGTTAGGTTGTGCGGCACTAGTGCAAGTTGCAGGATGAGGCGGAATGTTTTCGAGTGCAGAGCATAAGAGAAAGGCGGGAATGGGTACAGAGCGAGAGAAAGGACGAGATCGAGAGGAAAAAATATAAAAAAAAGAGAGAATCACCGGTGGAAAAAAAACGATGAGGAGGTGGAAGACTAAGAAAACTTCTCGGCAAGCATTCGAGGCAAACGCCGCCCGTCGCGCTGTCGGCCGATGAAGACGGATGGCGGGTGTTTCAACTGCTGGTGGGAGAGTCTTCACAAGAGTAAGCGAGAGCCGAGAATTCACCGGGGGTACGGAATATCAGGGAGTAAGATAGCGAAAGATAACAGTGCACCGGTGAAAAAGGAAAGGGATCTCGCTGGCATATAGGTATATGGATAAGTCGTGTGAGAGGAAGAAAGGCCCAACGATGGGAACATACCTTTCCCCCTGTTCCCTCTGAGTTGAACTACACACTCAAATTAACGGCATACCAATCCTCCAGGTTCTATCATAAGTGCCTGACCGACAAAAATATTTCCGAAAAGTCGGTGGAAAAAAAAAAGGGCCACCTCACACATGCTTATTTCAAAGGACTGGCATTCTAAAAAATTAATCAAATTCATGAGGAATGAGGGAATGGATGTAAAAAATTGAAGGAAGAGAGGTTGGAATAACCAGAGGCAGTCTTGGGTGTCGCTTTTGTTTTATTCTCTTGGCTCCGGTGGCACGCGGGGTTAATTAAAGAGCCAGCCAAGCTTCACAGCCAGCTCCGCTATCCTATTAATATGTGGGTTGTGGAACGGCGATTGGAGACTGCGGAGAGACATTTATGTATGGATACATGTGCATTCAATATTTTGATATCAGATGTCCTTGGGGACGCTTCTCGCGCGATAAATCATATCGAATCAGCGGAGAAAAACGGCGGTTTGTTCTTTTGGAACACCTGCGCTGTATCATCAGCAAATTATCATACATGATGTTTTGGATGTTTTTGTAAAACAAAGAGACTGCGGCGCACCGCCTGGCGGGAAAAAAGATAAGCCTCTGTCCCCAAAATGGCCCCGGCCACTGCGGCCCGAAATCAATTAAATAAATTGTCATTAGACATTGTAACATTGAAGTTGGACATGAGAGGAGCACAAAGACTCCGTCACGAGCCATCCCGGATGCTAATAGAACTCTCATTGGAGACGTCAAACGAGCCATAGGTCGCGAAGCCTTTGAATTCGCTGTGGAGCAATGTCCATTGTCGCCGTGGCGTAAATTTCTCGTTTTATTCCGAGCATTCACAATGAGCCCCGACCACCCGAGTCGTTAGACATCACAAGAGGTCAACAAAACTAAGAAATACCACCGTTGAAATGACGGTTGCATGGTGATGACTGACTATAACACACGATTTGATTAAAATTAGTGTCTCGCGTTCACCGATATCAAGAAAAAAGCTAAAAAAAATCGGCAAAAGACCTGCACTTATCCGAACCTCGGGATACTCGATGCTTGGATTTAGCGTTCTCGCCTTCTCGCGGACCAAGTTGACTTTAAACGCGGGGCAATAAATTAACGGCGTTGGGTTACGCAAGGATCAAATGTCCCCCGGAGTATGCCAAGAGATTTATGGGTCTGCCTTCACTGGCGCAGCATGGAAGGAACAAAACCGGGTATATACACTGAGAAGGCTCATACCAATGCTTATTATAGGCCTAGTGCCTCTTACCCTGTCGGTGCTTATGGCTTTGCCCATTGGAAGACACCAATATGGCATGTTGCGTACGTGTGATTTGCTCTTTTTATTTTTATTTTTATTTTCAATTCACATACACATGTGCACACCCGCCGCAGGACATACGCAGGACTTTTCAGATTAACAACTGTAGCCGGATGTGGGGTAAACGGGGCTAATAAGGCCCAGCCTCGGTCATCTAGACTGGCCAATTAAGCTTTCCTTGACCACATCTTCCCCTGGATTAACCTTCAAAACTCCTCTCGATTAGATACCACGACCCTATTAATTACGGATTCCTTCTTTCTCGTTGGAATCGATTTTTTTCTTGTTCTTCTCGTTTCTTCTGGGGATATATATTTTTTTTTTCTTCGCCTTGGAAACCCGGTTTTCATACGCCTGGGGAGACCTTCGGGTTAATCCCACGGGTTGGTAAATCGATGAGAAATTCAACGGGCATGAACTCAAAATTGTTTGACAGTGGAGAAGAGGACAGGGTGACAGGGATTACGAGGGAGAGAATAAACAAAGGGGAATTTCGGAAGAGAGTGCGCAAGGAAGATTGATGGAAATATCTTAGCATCCGGTTCAAAGACGCCAAGACATGAATCATTTTTTTCCTCTCGAGAAAGTCCACGAGCCAAAACTTCTCTATTTCCTCGCACATGGGAAATCCTCTTGAGGGGAATATTTTTAGTGTCACCCTTCGGAAACTTCTGAAAGCCAAATTTTTTTTTTTTGTTTTTTTTTTCCAATTTTGGGAACATGTGCCTCAAGATCTGGCAATTAATTGCTCTCGTCCATTGTTTGAGTAATGGCGGCTAATTAATTCTGGATCCATGACGAAGGTTTCGTGCTGACTTTCGAAAAGAATGAGAAGAGAAAAAAAAAAATGTTGGATTTCTAATCTGGAGAAGACCTTTCACCCTCAAACGTTCCCAGAACCATGTGGGGAGATGGGATAAAAAAGAAATCTCCGAAATCAAAAGCAGAACAAAATTCTGGGGTATTCAGAGGTTCGGGGCTATGGCGGTTCTCAAAGGCATACGGACCCATGAGATTCCGTGGATCATCCATCATCGTCAGACGTGTACCTCCGCCTCCTTCCAACCGCAGACTTCCCCGCTTGGTCCATCGCTCCACCCTGCCCTCCCAGCATCCTCTCACCATGTTTTTCTATGGGGTCTTTATGAATATCACTGGCACCGCCATTATGAAAGGACAGAATGAGCATTCACTGTGAAAATCACAGAATAACTCTCGCAATAATCTTTCATCTCCCCAAATACTCGATAAAATCCATTTAAGGCGCGGGACTATCTATCGTACGTCGATTTTTGTTTAAATTTTATCTTTTTAACCTAAAATACAATCAAATTTGAAATCAATTTTGAGTTACGGGAAGCGCTTGAATGGACAGGAAAAAATAATTAAAGAAAAAAGGAAAAATTAGTGAAGGGCGCTTAAGATCGATATTATTTAGAAGGATTTACCAAATTTGTTAAAAAATAATAAAAAAATACGTAAAAAATAGTTTTTTTTTTAAATAATAAAATATTGTAATCGAAATATTTTTTCCTAATTTCCAAAAAATTTCTGGAAAACTTTTCAGAAATTTTTTCTTTTGAAACAAAAAAAAATCGGGAAACAAAACAATTGTATTTTTGAAAAATTTTTCAAAACCTTTCCAAAAAATAAAATTGTTTTGTTTTCCGATTTTTTTGTGTCATAAAAAAAAATTCTTCAATTTCCCAGAAATTTTTTGAAAATTCGGAAAAAATATTGCGATTACAATTTCTTTTTTTACCCAGGACGCCATTCGATAGATACTCCATCCGGTTTTTAAACAAAATTTTTTCTTTCTCATTGGGATTTTCAAGTGCCCACCTGATGTTACCAACATCAAAGCACTTTTTGAATAACGCCAATCAAATCTAAAGTGCAGAGTACAGCATCTTAACTTCAGATGACAAGATTCTGTCGACGTGCCAAATGGAAGAGCATCTCCACGATTCCCAAGAAGCCTCATTCCAATGTAACTGTGCTGCATAACACACTTATTCGCATCCACCAAGCCGAGATCATAAATCTCTCAGTGAATGAGAATTGCAATTATCTTCGTGCATATTAAAAGCTTCAGACCCAATCGCCCCTCTCTTCGAATTTTTCCCGCCTTTTTTTTCCATCGGTGTTCGATAGCTTTTATTTTACTCAAGACATCGTGAGACATGTGGAAATTGCATTACCATACACGATGCTATCAGACACGAGAAACAGAACGAACAGAACAGCCGATAGGCGAAACCATTTTGTAACACCTCATGATCAGCCTATGATAGGAAGAAATATTTTTTATTCCACACTTGACTGAGTTATTGCCACCGCAGGGTCTCGATTAGTCGCGAATGAAAGTTCAATTGAGTAATTGCACTTTCCCGGTGTGAGCTCATCATTTTAAAATTGTTCATCGACATCTGAATGTTGGCAGGTGTGATCAGACCGGAAAGGACAAATTCTCGGAGTGAGGGAGGGAGTATTTTCTAATCTGTATCAGTACCTTGGAAAAGATGAAATGCTATCGATTCAACGACATCGTGCTGGTTGACATATAGCGCCTGACGTAGCGTTCGACCGTTTCAATTTACGGGCCGGACAGGTTAACGGATGTGAGTTCATAAAACATAAGGTTCCGCACTCTCCGCAATAAAATAAAATGGAGGAGATGAAAAAACGGGTGCTATCCATCAAATGGTGGCTGCTGTCATGAGTAAATGCTCGGAAGCGATTCATACTCGGTAATTGTCTTGACAAGAAATTGATATTTCATGAGAAATTACCGAAATCGGTTGACCTTTTGAGATAATTCAGGGAAGATTTCCAAGTTTCCCAGAATTTTTACCAATAAATGCCTGCATTCGTAGACCAATGTTTTATTCATAGCCGATGGTATTTTGCAATGCAGCAGACACCGCCGTGCGATTCCTTTCCCCAACAGTGGATTATTTACAAGTCTAGAATAAATAAAATGAATTCATCTGTGATGCTGGCGTAAGGAGCAATGCAACGAGAGAAAGACAATCCGCGTAATAGTCCAGCGGTGGTAGAGCTGCCGCAAGAGAGGCATTTACCGACATCTGTGATCAGATCCCGAGAGCTCGTTCAGATGCAACTGTATATTGCCGCATAAAGCATGCATGAGAATTTCCATTCGAGAAACACTCGCCTGCATTCAACTAGCACTGCTCGGCTTCATTATAACACCGCGGTAACCGCCGAATATTTATCGGCCACTTGTCCAACTTCCAAGTCCATCCGAGAGATGGTACCCGGTGGCCGAAAGGATCTGTCAGGATACCGACAGGTTATCGAATGATGGAATAGTAACTCACCTGAAGGAGACAGCTATCGAATTTCATCAGGTGGAGGAAACTTTTCACTTCAAATGCGTCGATAATTCTCGCGGAATATTCCCCAAGAGTTTGCAGGGAGTTGAAATGATGATTAGATGAATGAGATAAGATGACGGTTGATTTTCTGCATTATTCCTTGATATTTCTTGGATGATTGTCTGGAATGTATGCGATGAGGTAATTTGGAATTTTCAGAGGCGACTGTCATCGCGGGACACCGATGCACAACTGACGTACGATCTTGTCTTCAACCCTGGAGAGCAAAAGGTCATACCTAGGGATTAGGTAATATTGTACCTCTAGGTAATATTCTCCGGGATTTGGCGGACCCAGGTAGCGCAGGGGGTAGATGGAATGAGAGCAGAATGTCCGAGGGGGGTCTCCAACCTGCGCCTCATCGAGGGCGACCTCCGCCATTATCACTTGGTTACGGCCGTCATAAATCGTCGGTTCCGTCGTTTCCCTCTTGAAACTCGGGTCCCAAAAGATTGGACCCTATTCTCATCAGAATGACCTCTCACAATGTCGAGAAATACTTCTGCTCCGCAGGGGAACAGGTTAACGATTTCATTGCACCTTGATATTCAAAAAATTTTCACCCCGAAATGAGTAACTCGTCCGGACGACAAACATTAAGAATGAGGTCTTTGCGGAGGGAAGAAATGCCAGGAATCATAACACGCGTGAAGTTGCTCCTGTTGACTGCCTGGTGATCGTGGAAAAAGTTAATTGGACAACGCGATCACGTACGGGGAATGAACGAGCTCGGGTTGTAGGAGGTTGAGAAAAATAAGTGTCCTCCGTGGTGATGGTAAAAACCGGAAGGCAGACACGCGGTATGTGTTGATATTGGTGGGAGAAGAAGTCCAGAATCGCTGGAACTGATGCTCAACAGATTACTGGGGCCATAAAACGAAGAGGGGAGATGTTTTTCTGGGGCGAATTTTGTATACACGAATTGGCTATGTAAGAATGGTGAAAATGTGGTGCAGAAAGCTTGGGGCAATAAATAAGATCCTCCTCATGCTGAATGCAGTGGAGTTTCCTGTAACGCTGCATGAATCTAAACGACCCGGAGCACATTGGATACTACCTTTTGAATAATTGCAAAGAGCAATGAAAAATAACTCACCAAATTGACTCCTCATCCAAGGATAGAGTGGACTTGGTAGATTGGAATTGCCAGAGGCCTGTGGAGGGCCCTGCTGTTGCTGTCCAATCGGCGACGCAACAACACCCTGATGTTGCTGCGCCTGTGCCTGTTGCTGTGGCAACATCCCACCTTGTGTCTGATTGTTTGGCTGTTGCTGTTGCTGCTGATACATCATGTGCTGCTGTTGTGCCTGCATATGCTGATGCTGCGGCTGTGGTTGCTGGTGTGCCTGAGGCTGTTGGGCCTGCATGTGGGGATGCTGTGCATGCATTTGGTGGTGCATCTGAGTGTCAACGAGGGGCGGTGTTTCCGCACCATCGAGAACACTACCCTGGTGATCCACCGCCGCCGCCTGGAGCTTGCAACTCGCATAGACAATTGGCGTTGATGGGTGACCATTTGGCGTTGGTGTGTGACCCATGTGGGCCATACCCGATCCAGGTGATGTTGATCTGTATCCACCCATTCCATCGAGACTCCCGTGGTCCTGCTGTTGCTGGTAATACGCGGCATTTCGTATGTCCATTCTGTCGTAGGGTGGAAATCTTGGATAGGGTATACCTTGTTGGGTACCTCCTGCACCGTAATGGTGGGCTGGTACACCTTGTCTGAGCATACTTGGATCACAGGGATCAGCTGCCTGCTGTGGCTGCTGTTGAACACTCTGGCCCTGCTGGGGCACCTGCACTGCAGCCCCATAATGCTGCTGATGCTGATGGGGATGATCCACCCCGCCATTGCGCAGGTCCGGAATATACGAATTCGCAAAATACGAACTCATGCTACTGTACTATCCACCAGTATTCACACGTTTCCCCTTTTTTTCACTCAATTTTATCGTTATTTTTCTTTCGTTTAACACTGTACACAAACACGTACACTAAAATCACCAAAAAATTTACACTGGAATTTCTGCTTTTTCATTGATCCTTCAGGTTGTTTTTTTTTTTTTATTTTTGTACTCGCGTTGGATACACTTAAACCACTTATTCCTCTTTTACTTTTTCTTTATCACTAATCCTCACTATCACACTGTCATCACCATTGGATAACTGGAGCACTGCAGAACCTTAAGTTATGAAGCGAGGAGGGGGAGAGGGGGGGAGGGGCAAGATATTTTTTCAACTTTTCTTGTTCGGGAAAGGGGGTTCGTCACTTGTCAGAGTTCCTCGTCTGTTCCACTGTAGCGGAAATTCCGTTCAGAGTCTTGGACCGCTGGTGTAGACGATGCTTTCTGATCTTCCGTCCAGTTTGATGACGACGTTACGCCGCACCTGAAACATGATAAACATTATTAACAATTATCGCCATGATAATTAAAGGTTAATGCAGAAAACTCTGACTTCTGATTGGAATGAGCTTCTGGACGTTCAGTGTAACGAATGAGACTGGGGCTTTAGTTTGAGTGACAGACAGTGAGATACACACGTGCTCGTCACGGTGACGGCCATCGCCCAGACGTTAACGTCTTGCATTAGCACTAGATCCCCCTTATGGGAGAGGGCCAATCGTTAAATTTGGAGGAGTCGAAAAAAAAAGGCGGACGTTCCGGGCTATTAGCAACAGCATGGCGACTACTTTGAAGGAAAACTAACAAGTCCGTACGATATTGTCTTTGTACCTCGCAAGAGATTAACAACGTGTTATGACACGAGTTCTCCAATCAGATTGTCTTGGTGTGAATTATGGATCGGCATTGACAGCTTTACAGCTATTAATCTGATGCATAATTTGCACACCGGCCAGGTGAACTCGTTCCGGCTTGATTTGAATCGCAAAAAGACCGCGTTTTGGGGGTCGGTAACATTTGGAGATTGACGCCGCGAATCGGCAGGTTGGGGAACCCCGTCAGGGGCCCTGCCGGTCTCAGAGGGGCAGCTGATGCCGCATTGACCTGCTCTACCGACCGTTCATCAATAACCATAAGTCATGACATGACTTATGGTTCATGATGAATGAAGTTGAAGGCAAATAAATCGAGGATCAATTCCATTTGACAATCAACGGCGATGAAAACAGGACTAGCCGTTTGAACCGTCTGTAAATTAAAAAGTGTAAGGCTTGACCGCCGATCGCCGTGGAAATGCGGATTTTCCGGGAACTTTCCCTCCGTCGATTTTCTGGAAACAAAAGGAATATCCAAATCAAATGGAATATACGCGTGGCTTTGTTGCGGAGGGGCGTATATACCGATTCTCTCCCTCAGGGTAAATTGGGGATGGGGATGGCGGACGACCCTTGGGAGCTGGTGGAATACACGCGAATGTGCGGGTGTAGACGCGGGACGATCGCGATTAACATTCCACCCGCTAGCTCGCTGTTCGCGCGGCGCTTTCATTAATTCCCGCGTATTGATTCCTCGGATTGATGAATGGCCGCCGATAGCGATTCTACGCGCTACGTATAACCCCACCAGCATAAATTCTCACTGGGTAGTCCCTCATTTCCAGTACCTTTGACTCTACAATTTCTTCGCCCCACTCTCCATAAATTAAAATTGTTAAAACAATTATGTAAAATATTTCGATTGTTGGTCAATGACTTTCTCGTATTATCACCCGCTAATTTAATACCCGTAAATTACATTCCATGAATCATCCATAATCCCCCGATGACTTCATATAATGCAGTTTTTTTTTTTTAATACAGCATAATTTATGATCGCTCCCCCCGGATTTTTTTTCACCATTTTTTTTTCAAATGACCACCACTGGAGTGGTCATGCTAAGTGGCGGCATCATTCGGATAAGTCATAAACCATGGTCTGACCATTTGGTGAATTAAAGAGTGTGATGACCAGCCGATAGATGGCATCAGTGATATGACGATACTGAAAGGGGGAGATGTACTGTGGGGGGAAAAAAAACGGGGTGGAGCGTGGCTTGACAGCTGGGTGGGTTCGGGGCCAAGGTGATTGAAAAGAGGGTGGAGCGTCACGTGACGCCATAGTTGTGATGACGTCACAGCTGCTATGATGGCCTCTATTCATCAAAATGGCTTCACGACGGGCCACTGTCTAATCTAGAATTCAGCCTGCTGCCAACACTGTCTGGAATTTCTTCGATGGTGGCACCTATTTATCCATTTGACTCTCAAGACTTACATCTGCCACCGGACATATCTGTATCTCCGATAAAACAGAAGATTCTTTCGAGCATTGTCTTTTTCTCAAGTCAATTACATCACCGTAATCAATCACGGAACGTTTACTCCGATAAGATAAACGATGGGACCCCATGAGCGTCTGTTGGGCCGTAAAGGCCGTTTCAATGTGACATTTATGGGACGGCAAACTCGTGCCGGCGTGCCGTAAAACATTCATAAACTGTAAGCACGTCGTAAAGCAAATTAAAAGCTTCTGCAGTCTCAACAGCAGGGCGTGTTAAAAAGTTAGAGAAACGGTAGACTAGATATATATTTGCTCACCGGCCGACGGCGGAGGATAGATATTCCTCGAGCAGTTGACCGCCCACTCGATCTTCTCACCGATGAATTTTTGTGAGTAAAAAATTGAAAAGTGATTGCCGGTGGTACTTCATCTTTTTTTTTTTTGTATTTGCCCGGGGAAATCACGTGTCATGTGCCCACGACAAAATGGGGGTTGGAGGCAATCTAAACACCGACAGATTTGTATGCGCGGTGTTTAACATACGCCGAAGCTATCGACCAAATGCTAACGTGCACATATGCGATTAACATAATCGAGTCGAGCGGAACCAGTTTGCAAGGACGGAGAAACGCCAACGTGGGGATTTTGCGGGGGGGGTCAGCCGTGGGGTACATCTGGGGTTCCAGGTCGGCATCAGCTGAGGACAGACTCTGAATTTCACGCGTAATGGTATTTTCCACATTGGATTAATTGAAATGCAATTGATTGAATTAATTCCCCATTTTATTCACCAGGGGAAATTACACGAGACTCTTTACCGATTTTTTGCCGATTTTTTTGCCGATTTTTTGCCGATTTTTTAGCGGTGAAACAGGCGGAGATCGTGATTTCCCTTCTCCCATGTCCTAGGACGCTGGAATATAGATTCAACATGAGAATTTCGTCACTGCATAGCCCGCAGAGAATATCTACGTGGTTATCAGTATTCTAGTGTTTTGATATCGGGGATGCAGCACAGCAACCCCTTGTTTTTCACCCGTCCCACACCGGTGGACCCTTGAACCGTTCCAGCCGCAGTGTCCCGACGGTACGTGTGTTGAAGCCCCTGGATATATCAGGTTATTGAATAAACTGTATATATGTTATTACGTATGTTGAATTCATCGCAAAAAAATCGGCGATAAAAAAATCTCACGTGAAACCAGAAAATCATAACTCAAGTATTTTCATCTGTTTACGAATTAATTCATTGCGATTTCCATCTTTATAGTCCGACTTTTCTTCTTTCACTGCATCTAATTTCCATCTAATTATCGTTTTTTAAAAAAATTTTCTAATTAGTCAAAGCTGATAATTGATTTGTTGCGATGAAAATTAATGAGCATGAGTTTTTAATCGAGTTTTCTCACGGAAATAATCAAAATTCGAAGGTTTGATAAATATTGTGTACTAAATTAGAGTCCCACATTCGTAATTAACTCATTACGCACGAGTCGTTGATGCTCGCCAAGTGAAGCGTTCGGAAACGATAAGGGAGTGTACGAACTCTGATATGAACTTGGAGACTGCCTCCTCCGAAAACTTGTAATTTATTCCACTTCGAGAATATCACCGGAATCGTATCATCCAGGAGACACTCGGGAGATTCGTGTGAAAATATTCGTCCGAAGTTTCAAAAGAAAATTTCAACTTTCCGAATGAGGGAAAGTCCTGTAAACGGTTTTGACGCAATTCTCTGCGGGACGTCTGACACCTTATGGATTCGTCGACCGGTTGTATCGTCCGGAGCCCTTGGAAATCCTGAAAAACTTTCACATTTTTTTTTTCTTCTGATTTTACCTCTGACCTGACGCCTTTTTTTGTCCAAGGGGACGCGCGAAAAATCGAACCGCACGCTTTCACCTGGGGGAAATATTTTTTTTCGAAAAATGGGGGCCTCAGTCCAGAATTTATACAGTTAATTTTATTATTGAGAGAATATCTGACTGTTGGAATATTCGTCTGTGTTGAGGCCAACTCGTGCCATTCTCGATTCCAAAAGTCATAAAAGTTTCATAATTATTCTTTCAGGAATAGGCCGCTCAGTCGATGACATTCGTGGGAGTCTAGCCAGGAACAAGTCGAAACGAGGAGTTTCAGGATTTCTCAAAGTATTACGTAAGTTTCTCGTGAAGTAATTTAAACATAATCTTGATGAACGGTAGAGTCGCATAAAATAATGGCCTATTTTCGAATCAAGCCAGTCATTCGTTGAAATAAAACGACGTCACTGTTATGTTTCGCGTTTTAATTTTTTATTTTTTCGAGGAAGCCCCTTTTTACAATTTACGATCTGAGAAAAAAAAATAACAAGACAAAAATAAATATTCAAAACAAGGGGTAGTCGACTCGCAATTAAGCGGACGAATAGAAAATCGTCGAGTGTTTTAATTTCGAATTAAATTGACGCCGACTTTTTGACGGTAAAATGGGAGAATAAAATGAGGGGGGTGTCAGTAAAGTTTTGACGCCGCGCCGTAAATCAAATAGACCCTCGGGAAAATCCAGCATTACCGATAGTCTCGCTTGCCGTATGTTCATCCGTTCATTCATGAGATATCTCTCGGAAGTGTAGACAAGCCAGAAATTATTTGAAAATCGAATATCGTATGCATGCGGTAATGACTGGCGCACGTCGCGCGGTCGAGACTAGCGCGCGTGCAAAATTTCCGCGAAAGCCACGGAAAAATCGGTTGGTAAAAATTACACAAGAGAGAAGAAATTTCCGAATGGAGAGACTCTCTTCAACCCCAAGTATTTACGAATCATACTTTTCGATACATCAACACTCATTTGGGGAGCGGACGCATGCGCCGTTGCGCGCTCTCATGATCAACCGTCCGTATCTCGAGAACCATAAATCGTAAATCCGCGATTAAAAAACCATTCTCTTCGCTATAAAATTCCCCACACTTTATGTACAGCACGTCTCCCCCGATTTCCCAATACTTCGTGAGATATCGTGAATTTTCCGCGGCTAAAAAAAACTGATCGTTAATTAAATCTGCGAGTCACTCGGGAAAAAAAATAGACTCCATTTCCTCAATTTTTTTCATGAGCTCACTTTCGCGGATCATGCAAAAATCGACCATAAGATCCACAATTGATTGTTCAAAAAATCGTCTGGGTGATGCGTGAAAAATCGGCAACGGTTGGTGCTAACGTGTGGAGCATCGCGAAAGTATAACTCCGATGCAAATATTCCCGGCCCTCTCCGAGGTACGTTAAAAAAAAAATATAAAGAGGCAGCGTAATGTCGGTAGCATGGGGTATAGATATCAAGCCACGATAATCATGGAAATATCCGCTCCAAGGGGGAACGTTTAGGGCCGTCCCAGTGTGCGTGAGTCAGTGTTAGTAATCCTCAGCATTCGTGTAGGTGAATTCACATGTGTATCTCACACACACGTCCGACACTCCCAGAATGCGAAGCTACTAATAAAAATTGAAGTTGCCGGAAGATTTTTTTTTTCTCGTTTTATTATCTCAAAACGGAGAAACCCGACGGTATCACGTTTCAAAATCGTCGTAATTGCTTTAACTGCCTGATATACAATCCACCTGAATCAGGTGCTACGATCTCTCCATTGCATAATGAGTAGAATTATTTTTAGCTTTTACATTTTTAAATTTTTTCAAAATTGTAAAAAATGTAAAAAAATTTTTAAAAATCTTAAAAAAATTTGAAAATTTTTAAAAATCATTTAAAAAACCAACCGACGCACCAATTCAATTAAATATTCTCTCCTGAATGAATTGTAATTAAAAATAATGATAATAATAATTTTCAAGTGAAAATCTTGTCTTCGTGCGTCGCCATTTTCCATTATTTCGCGACGAAAGAATCGACGGATGACAGCTGTCGGTTGGGGTGAGGTAAAAAAAAATCCAAGGGTTCGGCGATGAAATTGAGGAGCGAAAGAGAAATGGAAGATCGACAGAGAGAGAGGGAGTGGCTTGATGGTATTGGATGCTGGCAGGGAGAGGTAGGGGTAGTTTGACAAGTTGACAGGAGCACAAAGACTGGAGCAGGGGAAATGAGCGGGAGAGAGATGACGTCGGGGATGTATACAGGGGTAGGTGTTCCCACAGAGGGATTCGCGAGGAACTGACGTTTTTGAACAAAGGGATAAGCCCCACTCACTTCTCTCGCTTCATACCCCATGGCTGATGGCAGATCAACCCCCGGTATCTGCCTCTTGCTATGAATTTTCAATCCAATCCTCCCTCAACGATTCTGTATTCACGAGATATTGGAAATTCGTTGGGAATTGTTCGAGTGGATGAGAAGTTAACCTGATAATGATGAATTTATTAAACGGAATGGAAAGACAAAAATTTCCCCCACAACATTCCCTATAATTGAATAAATTTTTTTAAACATCAAATTGAATAAAAAATGAATAAATAACTCATTAAAAATTATTGCACTCAATAAAAATCCATTTTTGATAATTTAATCACAATATAATGACGAAAATGATTTTTTAAGTGTCCGCCATGATAAGTGAAGATTTTTAATAGATTTTAATCTTGAAAATAAATAGAATAATGAGAATAAATTTATTCAAGACCTGGAAACCCTTGTCCCGTAAAAAAAATGGTTGAAAAAAAAAATGGAAGCCGATGCGTGTAAACGAGTGACAATGGCGTTGGTCGTAGACACGCTGCGTTGAATGCTGGGGTGTCGATAGCCGTCTGATCGGCAATAAATATACATTTTTTTTTCTAACCAGTCGAACGGCGTTACTGATAGGCCCCCCGATATACCCCTCAACGGGAGAACGTGGAAGCCCCATTCATAGAGGCAACACAAACCGATCTGGAATAGTTTGTACGCCGGTATCACGCGTGTAGGTACAATGTTGGTATACATGAAGCGGAGGGCGCGTTTATGGTTTACGAGGCGCGGCTGTGATTTATCGTCGTCTAAAATACCCACCAGAAGTTTAGAAACATGCGCCGATATTCCGATCACTATTCAATACGATAGTCACGGGGAATAGGGGATTGCGGTAATGTCGGAGGGTGGGAAGTAATGTTGGGGGAGAAATGACGCGGGTTAACCTCCAAATTATTTTATGGAGTTGGGAAATTCATGGAGCCATTCATATGCGTGATAAACGTCTGAATAATGAGCATTTTAGGAATAATTTAGTCCTGACGGTTAATGCTGACCGGTTAATGTCGGCCGGTCAATGACGGCCGGTCAATGACGGCCGGTTAATGTCGGTTAATGTCGCCTTGACAACATTATCACTGAACGTCACCCCGACGAATATTTTTAAACGCGAAAATGATGAATCACCATTTTATCTCTAGAATTCCCTCGAAATTTTCACGAGCAGAAAAAAAAAAACATTTGCTTAGCCATGCCGTCAAAAACAAGGCTGATACCTGGGTTCGACATATATTAAACCGCGTGAGGATAACGAAAAGAAATAAAATGAGAAAATAAACTCGTCGAGCTCATCGAAAATATTCCAAGGAAAACCACCTCTCTGTATAATCGTGTGAAAATGAAGGATAGAAACCGGTAAGAGTGGGAGAAAGACTGTAATTATAAACAATAAATTATAAAAATGATGATATCCAGTGTTGGAATTAATTACAGGAGTTATGGCATTCGCGAATTCAAGACGAGTTCCTCGAATTATTTAGCATGTCTGTCTTATCCCGCAAATATTGATTGACGATAATTTTTACGAGCTCGATAATTAGCTGTGATTGATTAGGCGAATGAAAAATGGCCCAGTTAATCTCGAGAGCATAAATATTCCCACTCAACTCCTCATTTTTAACGCTTCACACTTGAAAACTTCAACGGCAATCGTTAAAACCGTCTTAATGGCAATAAAATTAGCGGCAATTATCGCATGTGTGTTTACGAGATAATTCAAGTGCATGTTTTATTTGTATTTTAAATGGCGTGTCTCTTATCCTCATTTATCGAATTTATAGCCATGCGGTACAACTGATTCACTACATGAATACAAAGAACCCACCCCCTTTTTTTTTTTCTCATTTCAACCTCAGTATTACATACGTTCACGTCGTTTTATTCAACTTCTTCACGCTCTTGTCGCTTATCCTCTCCCCTTTTGCCAAGTTAAATTCACCCTTGAACAGTAAATCAGAAACGCATCAGACGGTTCGTGTGGATTTTCATTTCACTACCCCCACGACAAAAATCGACGGTTCGATAATCAAAGAAAATTCGAGTCATCCCCTATTTTCTGTTATTTCTACAGAAATGGCGAGGAAAAATTTTATGCATTTCCCGGAAAATAATCACCAGTTTCTCGTCCCTTTTTTACGCGTACGTTATATATTGTATTTTTACTGATGATTAAATAACAGATAGGCGATAATTAAAATAAAACACGTGTACATGGAGTGAATATTCAGTTTAACCTTCAAGTAGAATGCACTGACATGCTCGTCGCTGACAAGTTAACATAAAGTTTATCTAGCCTCAGTACAAGATTCCTCAGTGCATAATTCTATTATTCATGTGGTGCGCATAAATAAATCGTTTAGCAAAATAGCCGACTCATTATACCCGATAGATAGCATTCGTCTTATCAGTTTTCGACTTGAATATTCGTGAAGATTAAACCGAAAAATTATAAACGAGCGAGGGCTGAAAATTAATAGCGCTGAATTCGATTTTTCATTTTAAAAGTGAAAATTAAATTTCACATTTCACCCGATAATCAGTGAAATTATTTAATTCAAGATGACAATTCCGTCATTTATTTAAATTTCCAATTTAATATAACCATTCAGTGTCGAATAATATTGAATTTATTTTTACCTGAATTTTCAGGATTTTTTTTTGGTCATTTCCAGGAAAAAATGGAATCGAAATTTGCAGTTTTTTTTTAATTTATCCAGGAAATTCGGGATTTTTAATTGCGACGCGATAAAAATTGTTAAAACTTTTTAAAGTTTAATTGAATAAAGAGAAAAATGTTGCGAGCATCATTATGCAAGACAACTGTGTTATCTCCACGGGTAATGAAGTGACCCGTTGTCCTTCGCTACCAGGTTCCCGGGGGCAGCTACACACCGGTAGTCCGGTTAACTCTCGGAGTTTCTATACATCTGCGATCACCGACAAAGCGAAACCTCCGGAGATCATGAGACCAGATTACGCGAGGGTGTCGCTTTTAACGGCACATTTGTCGGTTTTTTCTCGGCCTTTATCATTTTTCCACAGTTCTCCCTCATAAAAAATAGATTTATATTGTTGATAAAATATAGTTACACTGTAGAAAAATTAACGCTTCTATTTTATTTTTCAACAATTCTTCATTGACAAATATTGAAAATTCAATTAATTTCCCTGAATGTTCAATTTATAGAAAGATCAATTATTATTTAACATAAAAATGTATTCTTTAATTGAATTGAAAAATTTCATTTCTCTCTTCGAATTCCTCACGTATAATTCATCATTTCAATTATTTATAATCACCCATTATTAAACAATATAATAAATACCCTGGAACATTATAAAACCGCGAATAAAACCGGGGAAAAATTTCCCCTATACCCCAGAGAAAAATCCATTAATTAATTGAGGAGAAAGATATAATTACGAATAATGAGTTTTTGCTGAAAAAAAAAATATTGTGTTAATTTTACCCCATATCGTCGATGCTCTCGCGTTATCTACGATCCTCTGACATCACGTATTAAAACACATGTGAACCTTTCCCCTATCGACTAATTAACATTCCAGGTAAGAACAGACGTACGACAACGGGTTGTCTATCCACTACATGAATAAACTTCAATGCCCCACAGACACCAGACCCCCAAGTACCACATTCACAATCACCCGAGACACACATGTGAAACTCGAAACGTTCTTTTCTTATCATCGGTGTACGGTTTTGTCATGGTCGCGAAAAAAAAAAAAATACACATCGGATGGCGACTGTGCAAACAATGTCAATTACATATACACAGGTGTCGATTTTGTCTCTCAAAGTGCTTACGCGTGTACTTCACAGAACTTTACGCTCTACTTCGACAAATAACCGCTAACAGCGATCAAACCCAATAGACAGTGTAATTGTTCATTAATCAAAATAAATGCATGTTTGATAATTAATTAAATCACTCACAATTACCCGATGATTATTTTTAACTGCACAATTGAGCTCTATTTTACGCTCCTCGATTCGTCCCACTTTCGGATGAAATATTTAATATCACGTGCAATTGTTCCTCCATTTTTATTTCCAGGATAACAGCAGCCACGTGAAATTCACATCAACACAGAAATCCTCAGCGACACCGCACGCTCCGTCCCGCAATTTCATTTCGACGTAAAAAAAAAAAAAACAGAAATTTCGAGTATTTTTTTTATATGAAAATAAAAACAACCACTTTGCACTGTAACCCACTATTATTCGAGCAGCGGCTTGATTATTTCGAAACAATTAAAACAGCAATAAATAACCGGTAAATCACGATCTTCCGGTGCCTAAAATTGTCGTAAAAAATAAACCGGCGTATAAATTCGCGCGCTCACCACCGTCGAGTGCAATTTCGACGCACACGCAAAGGAGAGACGATAGTGTCTATACAGAATGCCCGGTGTGTCAGAGAGTGAAGCCTCCAGCCTCGTGGCCACCGAGTGCAGACAGAAACGGAGCTACCAACGGCGATATGACGGCTTCACGCACACGAGTGAGGAAAAAAGAGAGAAAAAATAAAATAGCATCCACCAGGCTGGAGACAGAGGGAGACGGTGGACTCGCCTATGATACGACCAACGAGGAAGGGAAAAATATAAAATGAGACGGCGAATCTATCCACTGGGTTAAATAAGGAGGGAGAGAAAAAAAAAAAGCCCACCACTAACACTCACTCACTCACCGTTGCGTAGAATTTTTCGCGTGTGTGGAAACGCACGTGTACAACCCACACACATGTCCCCCCCCCCCCGGTCCCCCTCTGGCCCACCACCGGAACGTGTGTGAATGTGTGCATGTGCCTGAACGCGTGTGAATGTGTGCACAGAACCGTATCCTCCCGTCGTGCGTCGAACGGACGAGAGCGTCGAGCTGTCAGCGCACCCCGAACCCAACCCCTCAATTCCGGACCAACCCCTCCCCAAGTCGTACTTTACGCTCTCTCACACTCGCTTCTTCATCCTTGTTATTTTCTCCCCCCCTCTTTGCCCCCCTGGACTCGCACACGCCACGTCCCTTTTTCGCTCTACTCTGTGTACCTAACCTCCCTCTTTCTTTTTCTTTTCACTCTTTGTCACACCGGGCGAGGGGATTCCCCACTGTGCGAAAAATCGTCTCTTTTTTTTTTTCATTTTCATGTTTCGTCTCTACTCTGGAGATCCTTGGGTGACGGTTTCCGCACCCGCCTCTCGATTGGGTGCCAAGAGGGGGAAGAAAACATTGGGGAAAATAATGGTGGAGGTCTCATGGAGATCGGGGCAAAATCATTACGTCCTTCATTGGGACGGTAATAAATTTTAGTAATCATCGATAGTTTAGTGGCAAAATTCATCGCCATTGGGGGACTGCTAAATTGTAGTGCCTTTGAATTGATGAGGAGAGGATACTTCATCGTTTACGGTTGAGACCTCAATTCGTCGTGAACTTTGGAGATATATCCCTGTCCTATTGAATAATATCCATATTCCCATTCGTCCTCGAGAATAGTCGAATCCACCTGAAAATGTCGGTCTCGAGAATGCCAACAACCCACTTTGGCATTTCGTGCATTACCCTCTCCACCCCCAACACGAGAATATTTCCAGAAACCGCACGAAAGTAACATAACACAACCCGTGGGATCGATCGTCATGATTTTCCCCGAAAAAGAGGAAATCCAAAACTGAAAAAAAAAATATATATAACTTTTTTTCAGCTCCCCACGGGGTGGATCCGGTCCTCAGCTGAAAACCTTTTGACGTCTTCCTTTTTTCCGAACGGCTGCCTGTGACATGTGGCCATGACGAAGCCGATGGCTCCCACAACATTTTTTTTTTCACCGATATTTTTTTTTTTTACCCCAGAGAAAATGAAAGCCGGGCATTGATGCGTGCACCAGGCGTGCGTGGCTCAGGCATTTGATGACTCTATCCAATCCCACTGGCTCGATTTCTCATCCGCATTCATTCCCGCCTGATGGGCTGACCCATTGCCAACCCACACCACAAAAAACTCCTCACGCATACTCATAACCCATGGGGGAGGATACAAAAAATGAGGAAAGATCGAAAAAAAAAGGGGGAGAGAACAGAGGCGCCTATGATTTATGGCAGCCATTACGTTTCCGATAATTATATGCTGCCCTACAGCCACCCCCCTCCCAACGTCCGGCTGTGTACGAAAGCTATTTACCGAGTTCGAGAGGAGCCTTACGTGGGATATGATATCCTGACGGCCGCCAGGCAGAATCATGCATGCACCCACCAGGTGTCTCACTCCCACTCGTGGGCATCGGTTCGATCGACTGGTGGTTTCTTCACGTGAATTATTTTACTTGTTTTATCAACCCACCCCCCCCCTCTGGTCTCAGCCTGCGATTCTTATCGAGCGATTAACCCCGGCCGACCCACCGAACAGCCAGACGTGAGACGTGTGAGAAATGCCATAATCGATTGGTGAGGCTCCAACATCAAGAGCATCAATATTCTTACTTCTCCCAAATTGAGTCTTAATGCTCGACCTTAACATAATCATCGATAATTTAATGGTAAAATTCCGAGGACAGCTGTTATAATCAACTATGACTCCTTGATTCGGTGAAAGAAATAATCATCGAATTGTTCAATTGTTAGAGAAAAATAAAGACAAACGAAAGTGATTACATTATCTCCAATTTTCGGCAGGAAGTTTCCACCCTCAGGGTCGTCACGCATTCCAGAATGGCGGTCGTAAATATTGTAGTGGCCCGGGAGCCCGGCACATACACAGGCTTCTTCCTCCATTCTGGTACCCCTCCCCGAGGAGCACTTATTACGCCGATTCTCTCAGGGTCCACAATGATCCAACAATTTCTTAACAGGCCCTAGCCCCATCCACAATTGACCACCTAACGCTCGTTAAATGATTTGGATAAGGTCTCCAACTCGAGAGTGATTGAAGATGAAAAAAGAGAATCCGGAGTCGAGCGGTTGAAGTTGTCGCTTCGAAAATGATTTCGGTGGGATTAATTTCCAGGGGATACCTCAACGTCACGAACCTCGACACCAGTGAGATTAAGTCATTGGTGACGGTTGATCCCTCATTCAGCAGTTATTGTCTTCCCCACGCATTAGTATAACAAGCGTATCGCACTCTCAGCACCAGGCGGCGCTCTGGACTTGAAGTGGCCAGTGCCCCTCCGGTTCACCCCATTACCATACGAACCAATTCTCGAAGCCAAATGGTCTTCAAGGCCTCCAGCTCATCTCCTGCCTGCGTATGCTAAATACACGAAGTATCACAAAGGGTTTTTCAGCTCACTTACAGCATGTAAACTATCCGAGGGGCGTTCCGTAAACTTCCAGGACCATGTGAACGGACCAGGTGCACCTCCAATATATCTCTTGCTTCTTCTCAACGGTATATTACCTGAAAAGCGCATCATAGAGTCGAGACACGATAGGAGTGTAACCGAGTGTACACATGATGATCAACAAAGACCGGTTCTTTTTCGGGGAAACTGGAGTCACACGGGTTTTTGGGTAAATGTTGCTACGTGGTTTTTGGTGAGGCACATGCGAAGAATAGATATTTGATTTTTTGTGTTGACAATGGAGCAGACCGGTAGCGGCGATATACCAACAAAATGTCGGCATTTTATTTTTGATTTTAGCTTGCTTTCTCGTTGACGGAGAGCTCGTAAATCACGGGATGGGATGAAATAGTGCACGAGGGTAAGTAATGCTAATACATTTCGTAGATAAGACGTTGAGGATTTACCTGTTGTATAAGAATGCCTTTTCATTAATTTTATGGTAAAACATGGGCATGAGCAACTGGCAAATACATACGTTGACGTATCTAGTCATAGTTGTGATGGACGTAAAGAGGGTGATGTTTGCATTTTCAAGATAGAGGTATTCGTTGTGGATCAGTGTGTTATGACAGTCAACGCGTGGAGCTGTTTATTTATGAATAATTCAAGTCTCAATCGAATCGGTTTCTACCGTTCATTGTTTGAAGGTTTCGGTGGTGATATTCGTTTGTCCGTTCATCTTCTTCCTATTCCTTATTGGCTGTGCACCCCTCGGGACTGTCAGTCCCTTCGGCTATTCTGGTAGCTAGACCCTTTGATGAAAAGTTCATAGCCCAAAAGATCGATAGTCAAGAGAGTGTATGTGGCGCGTCGAGGACACCGATGTTGTTCGGGTTGGGTGCAATTAGCGGGCCATAAATCCCGAGGATAACGAGACGCGGCGCCCCGAAGGCGTCACGACGCTTCTCGTTTCTCGAGAGTTACCCTGGGTAGATGCTTGGCATCTTCCTCTCTCAGCCAACTCTCGGGTACTTCAAGTGTCTCCCAAGGGAGAACTTGCAACTTCTCGTTTGGGCGAGAGACGACGGGTGACACCCGCTCTCTCGCTGCCACCCAAAACGACCGAGATACCCATTGCTTGCTCCTCCTGCTGTATTCTTTGCACCATTTTAACCCAACGAGATACCGAGTGATGGAGAAACTACAACGACTGCCATCTATCTTGCCCAAGATATCCCTTAAACGAAAATATCCGCCGAATTTGAGGGCAAACTTTTCGTGCATTTATTTCAATTCTTCCTCTTCCTCTTCCGTCTTTCAAAACAATACCCTGTGTACACGAGGAGAAGCCCAAGGAAAATAAAAAATAACCAACTGATAATCCGGTTTTGCTCTCTGAATCCCCGGTGCTCTTATTTTTCTCGGGGAAATACTTGGATCGAGTTTTTGCCTCGGGAAGTTTCCGCTCCGTGCTTCGAATCGGTGAAGAATAATATTTTCAAGTGGAAAAAAAAAATGGAAAAAAGAAATAAGGGAAATGAGAGAATGGCGCGACAAAATAGACATGTACGTAAACATGTCGGGGATTATTTCGTGATTTATTAGTTAGTTGGGGGGCAATACGCAGTGGAAAAATTTGGTGTCTCCCAAAATACTG